AAAAAAAAAAAAAAAAAAAAGAAAAAAAAATTTATTTCCTAAAAAAAAATTATTTCCTAAAAAATTATTTTTCATCAAAGTTTAGTGTTCGTTTGACTTTGTTTTATATGGAAATTGTCCATTAAAATGAATTTTTTTTTTTACAATTTGTTATGAAATTTGTTTTCATTGCAAAAAATTTAAAAATAAAAAAGTGGCGGTGAACTGGAAAATCATGGAAAAGAAGGCTCGTGAGCATTGGCCAAGAAAACCATTTCCCCTCCAAATTTTACTCATCAAACATGTCAATTGGTGGGAAAAGGAAATTAAATTGCAAGTTCCATGGAAAAAAAAGCAAATCAAACAGGCCCTTAGCTCATTTCCAGAGTGGAAACAGAAGTTTGCATTTGCCATCATTCTCCTATCCTCGTAATTCTTCCTATATTTTTTCTATCCTTTTCAGTATATTGACCTCTAATTTATTAACTCTACCTCTCAAATCCTTAGAAGAATAACTGAAACTATTTCAAAGAATAAGGAAGAAATTTATCAAACTCTCCCACAACAAAATGCATTTAATATTGTTTATAATTTGATGCATACAAATGACCACATCGAGGGTAAAGGATGACTTCCACAATTTTATATGTTATGTGTGTTCAATTTAATATCTAGGTTTGCAGGGAACATGGATGACTTCCAAGTTGTTGTAGAAGTCCATCACACTCACATATAAATAAAAACAAACTTTAATATGGGACTTCACAAAATAAAAAGTTCTGTATTTGATTGACGGGAAGGTCGACTTTGCCATAGTTTGGCATTGTCCCGTCCAGAGTTGCTATGGAAGCCTTATGTTTAGTTTCTTGTCCAATAGCATATTAGTACTTAGAAATCGATTAAAAGTGTCTTCCAAACTGTCCTAATTAATCTTACAGATTGTCGTGGGAATCATTGAGAAATAATGATCGGGGCCCAGAAAAATCAATCAAACTAACAACACCCGACAAGCTTGACCTATAACCAAACCAAGACTTTGGGTATCACAAGTTCACCCTACAAAGGAGACTCCAATGATGGTCGTATTAACAATCTACAAAGGTAGGAGGAAGAAGAAGAGATAACAACGGTTTAATCTCACTCAACCCCCAAGGCCCTTGACTGCTTCTCTCTTTTCACTCCTCTCCATTGCTACAATACATACACACACAATTAGGCCAATCACTTAGGTCACAAAATTAGGCCAAAACTCCTCTCATGGGCTGTCAATTAAAAGCAAGTAAATGTGCCAACATATATCCAAAACCACACCCCAATAACCGACCCAATAGCCATTACTTGGGCCTAAAAAAGTGTTGGTCATTTTCGGATCGAGCCAAGTCCATGTTGTCGATAAATTATCTGACATCTGTTTTAAATTATCACCTAGATTTATTGGGTATCAAAACCCAACAAATCTCCACCTTCATACCCGATCAACCTGCAAGCAAATAAAACAAAGTTTATACTTGTATAATCAAGATATCCAATAAAATTGAGATCATAGACCTTACCTCGCGTTTCGGACCCAAAACACATACTATACATGCTCCAGCCCCCATGTACTCACCGGGGCTAAAAAAAAAAAACCCAAGTAGAAACAGATAATAACAGTAAACAATCAAGAGCAAATAAACACGCAATGAAGATATATTTGCAGGAAATTTGCTATCTACGTTTTCGTGATTTTCGGCCAATTCAGAAAGAGTTTGGTGAAACAAAGACCACTGGCGTGACGTGCAAGTGGAGGCAATTCTATCTCATGCACATTTTCAAGATATTCCTAGATGTAAAAAATTGTTTTTGAAATGTAAAAAATAGACTATTTTCATAGCTTCAACTTTCAACTAGATAAATTTTACTTGAAATTTTTTAACATGTTTTCATTTTTAACTTTTGTATAGAAAAAGTCATATAAAAACTTGAAACTAAACTTAAATAAAACTCTTTAAAAAAGGAAAAAATAATAACATTAATAAAGCGCCGCTAGACGCTCATTGTCAAGACATGGTGTTTTGTCGAGCCCCCAGTCTAGATTCTGTTTAGACGAATTTTTAGAACACTGCATGAAATAAATAATCATTTGGGAACACTTAAGCGGACNTTTTTTTTTTTTTTTTTTGAGGAATTTTAGATTAGATATGTAAATCTGATTAAATTGGAATAAAGAGTAGCATGATTCAGAATATTTGCTTAACTTGCTAAGCTGACTGTAAAAAGCACTCTAACTCGACAAGGCAATTGGTTTTTTAAATTTAAATAACAGTATATAACGCCAGTGATGTTAAGTCTATATGGTATTACGTGGAAAGTTCGATAAAAAGTGAAAGTATATCCATGTTTCACAACAATTAAAACTGATTTTATTAATTTATTTTCAATCACATTCTCACAATAAAATATTTTGTACGTAAATTTAAAATTTTTTCTTTACTTTTTAACCACACATTCTCCAAAAAAAATCACTATTATGACAACTATTATTTGAATAAAATGGAGTTTTGAATAATGATTTTTTGGTGAATGTGTGATTAAAAAGTAATGAAGAATTTTGAATTTACGTTTAAAATATTTTATTGTGTGAATGCGTACTCGAAAATGAATATATAGAAAAAAAGTTTTAAAATAATAATTGTCATACGTGCTAAATAACACTTAATTGCATTTAGACTGGTGTCGGAACATTGGTGGTGTTAAATATGATTAGTTTTATTTTTCCAAAAGAAAACAAATACTAATTAAAAAAACCTACCTCTCAATGGGCAGATTAACGGAATAGCTCATCCTGATAAGATAAAAGAGTCTCAATTGGTTTTATATTTGATCATTTATTTTGGAAATTGGCGCAAATGATTGCAAACATATTGTCAAATTAGTTCAAATATGTCAAAAGTAGTGTATATAGTTTCAAACCTTTTCATTTTTGATGCAAATTGTCCTTTTGATTTGACAAATTTTGTAATTATATCTCACGCACAAACTAATAGGATCAGTTATTCAAGATGAGCAAAGGCATGGGACCATTTACGCCAATTTTCCATTTAATTTTTAATTTTTTTTTTTCTCCTTTTGATCACCCCATATAATATTTTTATTTCTATTTGACAATTCAATTGATAACTATTTTCTAAAGAGATAAATTTCTTGAACAGGGCAATGAAATTCACGAGTGACTCTACTTACATGTAAGCTAGGTCTGGAATTCCATCAGTTTTTGTAACGTCATATTGAGCAATGCTATTTGTACAAAGTTGAGATCTGTTATCCAACTTTTGCTATCTAATTTATTGTCCACCCTATTAATTATTGACATATCATTTTGTATGTGTGGGAGATTATTTAACAATGTTAAATAATTGTTGAAGTGAAAAGTAAAATTGATAACATGTTAATTTAAAATGACGTGTCAATAATTAATTAGATGGATAACAAATTAGACATTGGATCTCAAATCATTTGCACATCATGATTTACAGATTGATGACATGGAAGAGAGAAGGAAATCAGTTAGAAATCAATTATTATAATCCCCATCATTATTCTATACTGATCTGTAAACCACGATGTACAAACAACATTATTCATAAAAGTTAGTTGAAACAAATTTATGTTGAGTGATCAACATGAAATAGACATGTTAGTTTGGACCAACCATGTTACATTCTCCTTAATTCGGCCTTGAACAGCTTAACACATTTAAGATATCCTTTCAACATATCTGTGTATCAAGAATGCAGGTGACTGAATTGAAACTTTTCACCAATCCCGGCCTTGAATTTTCTACGAAGATTACATAAAAAACCTACCACATGCTACTTTTCATCCTATAGCAGTGCTAATACAATTTGCTGTACTGAGAATTTATAATCTTCAGTCACTCTGGATATTCGCCTCCAACTACTGCCAGGTATCTTTCTGTATGTCCACTTGAATGACAGAACATTCTGTATTCCTATACCTACCTTGGACCAATGAACTTAAACCATTTGGTGAAAGCTCCTTCAGGAATATTGCCATTTTACTGGCATCAGTTACATTGTTGAGTCTTTTCTGATCCTAATTCTTGCATATGTATCTCAAGAGAAAAATGGGTGAAGCTATACGCCGGGACAGCCAGAATATTGCAGCTTTATACGTATCTGTAAATTAAATGCCAATTGGTCCAATACCTGCACAATCAAGGTAATTCAGATTTGCCACCATTATACATTGGATGGCCTTCAATAGGTACCGTGACACGAGAGTAAAGCGCAGCGGGATGCATACAACATATGCAAAATGAATGAACTACCTGAGGTTGGCATTGGTTTTCTTATACGTTTAGGAGCAGGTTCCTTAATTTCAACAACTACTGCATCAGATGTCAAAAAGGTCTTGGCAACAGATGTTGCATGCTCCAAGCAACATCTAACAACCTGCTTCGAGATTGAATGTTAGCCACTTGGCCTCGAAATGCAGTGAAAGTTTCACATTTTAGCACAAGTATACAGTTGATTCTTGAATTTACCTTGGACGGATCCAGTATTCCAGCAGCCATCAAATCCTCGTATCTATTTTCTGCAGCATTGTATCCATACCTTATGTCGTCTGATGACAGAACCTGCAACTTGAAGTTTCAAAGAGGTTAACTGATAAAGTTTGATTTCTAAATCAGTCAACAATATCAGTTCAAAAATACTGAAAATTCATATTTTCCTACACAATATAATGAAAAACAAAACACTGATGCAAAGAGACCTTCTGTATGACAGTGTTTCCATTTACACCAGCATTTTTGGCTATCTGTCTTGCAGGATAGGCCAAGGCTCTTTTTAAAATGTCTGCTCCTATCTGCATGCACATTTAGAAAGCCATAAAGTCAAAAAACTGTAACTTCACATATATATCGAGAACTCGTTATAGCATGTATGCATCCTCAATTTATAGCAGGAAAATTTAAATTGTTGGATAAAAGAGATGCGTAGAGGTAGTACTTTTTGCTCGTCATTGTCCAAATGTTCTCTGATACTATCAACCTTAGTAGAAAGCCTGAGGAGGCAACAACCCCCGCCAACTACTATTCCTTCCTCAATCGCTGCCTGGTAATGAGAACCTAGAAATTCACCATTATGGAACTACTTGCTAGCCATTAAGAAGTTAAAAAGCAACTAAACTACCTTGGTTGCATTTAGAGCATCTTCAACTCTTAGTTGTTTATCCTTCAACTCGATCTGTGTTTGTGCTCCCACCTGCGATTTGATTGATAGAGTAAAGTGCACCAAAGCATAGGTTACTTTCCAAAACCCAGCCCTCAAGATTCAAATGTCGATGGATTTCAGATTACCTGAAGAATTGCTATTCCCCTTGATAATCTGGCTATACGTTCATTCAGTATTTTCTTTTGAAATTTTTCCTCAGTGTTCTGCAAAAGTGGAAACTTGGTTACTGTTCAGAAGGCAAGAATGTAATGGTGGATATATGTCAAAATTATCGAATGTTTTCAAGGAAATCGTTAGCATTTTCACTTCCATAAGTGATGGATAGTCTCACAATAGGTCATTCGATTAGTGAATTTGAGGACATTAGAGAATGGTCGACACACCTCTACAAGCCTCTGTATCTGAGAAACTCTTACTTTAACAGCTTCTTGTGTACGTCCATCTGTAACTATTAATGTAGAATCCTTAGATACTACAACTTTAGAAGCAGACCCAAGCATACCTTTCTGAACATTTTCAAGTGTCAAACCCATGTCATCCCGGATAACAGTTCCTGCAAAAACATGATAAATTCAGCTTGTAAGCTTATGAAGCATACACTAAAGAGATTTTAAATTAGAAACAAATAATAAGCGGACATTTTCTTTTGCATCAAAATATAGTTTTTCCATATTTACTCATACAATAATTTCGAAACTATTTTCAGATTTATCAAAAAAATTTACTGCAACATTATGAAATATCAAAGTTGGGGATGCATATTATCTCAATATTTCTGGCACAATATCGAAATCGGGAGTCACTACATAGTTAGAAAATGAACTGTTTGTGAGAAGTCAATTCACGAATTTTTCGCTTGGTAGACTTGTTTCACTACCTCCTGTCAAGATGGCAATGTCATCCAAATAGTGGCTTTTACGCTCACCAAATGCAGGAGCTTTAATTGCAGCTGCCTTCAATACGCCCCTCAATTTGTTCCTAATTATCGGAGCCAGAGCTTCCTGCTCGATGCCCTCTGCAACTATCAAAATGGGGTACTTATCTTTGGCAGCATTCTCCAATATCTTAAACAACTCCCTTGGATTTGAGATTTTTTTGTCAACCAATAGCAACTGCATTCAAAGAATTTTACATCCTCTTATTACTCGATATGAAAATTTGGTGTAACTAAATAATAAATGACATCCATACTTTACAATCATAAAACTCCACTGTCATCTTTCGACGGTCAGTGACAAAATAAGGAGACAAATATCCACGATCAAACTGCATTCCTTCAACAATTCGTAAACTGTTTTCAACGTAATTCCCTTTCTCAATCGTGACAACACCCATTCTTCCTACTTGTTGAAGAGCATCGGAAATCATATCCCCCACAGCATAGTCATTTCCTGCGCTAACAGCAGCAACATCTGCAAGTTCGTGATCCTCAACCTACAATATAACAAATATTTTGATGTTAATATTAGGAGTTTTATGGTCGTTGTTGTGCTGCCAAATACGTAAGAATTGAATGAAAATTTCTAGATACCTCTTTGGACATTAATTTTAGTTCAGAAATGAGAGCATTAGCGGTTTTCTCAATCCCACGAGAGATCTGAATTGGGTTCATGCCTGCAGCAGTAACCTAGAAACGAGCAAATTCGTTTGGAAGCTTTCGATAACATGCGTTCAAAGAATACTGAAAATTGCACTCAATCTTCAAAAATAGCAGTTAGAAAAAATAATTGTTTAGCACTAAATCATCATCAGTACATCAACCACGACGACATCTTCAAGACAGAGAATTAAAAAGTTTATACCTTTATGCCTTCAGCAATAAGACCCTGAGCTAGCACTATGGACGTAGTGCAACCATCGCCAGCAAGATCATTTGTTTTTGCCCCCGCTTGCCTCACCAATTTTACTCCCACATTTTCAAGAGGATCCTCGAGCTCAATCTTTACTAGTAACCATAACATACTTAGGCCATAAAAAGAAACAGAGAAATGAAAACAAGAAGATGAACTCTGCCTCCATTGATTATATTTCCATTGAACCATATAACCTATATAATTGATCGATTGCACTCTCAAAGAAGTAAGCTTAAAAAAAAAAAAATTGCTGTTAGAAAAAGAATTACAATGATCAGATTTTCTGCCTATTTTATATCTGCATCACTCGCTACATCCACATTTCTAAAGTTTGAGATCATAGTGCTGAAGGACTACAATGACACTACACAATCTGAGCTACATAATAGGAACGGGAGAATATAGATACACTAAAAAAGTCAGGAGTATATTCATTAAGAAGACACTTGTTACAAACTTCTGAGAATATATGTTTTTACTTTATTTTTTTATTTGGTTTATCTCCCAACTAAAAAACCTCAAAAATTGTCCCTAACGGACATCCCTCAAACAAGAAGCCAAAAATTGTCCTTAACCGATAAACGTGTGCATCGACATACTATTTGGCAAGAAAACCCAAATCAGAAGTCCTTTAACAGTAAAACTCCATATAAAAAGATCATTTTCATCAAGAAACGCATTCTCTTAGTTGAGAATCAATCTCTCCTACCACCAGGTTGGAAAACTGAAAATCTTAATTCCACTTTCAAGTATAATGGTCTACAAGGTTTTCATTGCAAAAAGCACGTCTCACCGGTCTGCAGCTACAAAATTCCGGGGCAGATAGGGGTAATTAAAGCCATCCCTCTTTATATCTTTTACATAATTTAGTGTTCTTCAACATCCAATCTTAATAGGCACGTTACATCACTACCCAGATGTTAACATTAGATAAGGAAAGCAGTATGCTAGCACCTCTTTAAGAACAGTTTCACCATCATTGACAATCTTGGGAGGTCCATACTTGTTTTGCAACACCACATTCCTTCCCTTTGGACCCAAAGTCACACCAATCAGCTGTGCTACCTTATCCACCCCTGCCTACACCAAAATATCCCAATCAACCAACCATTACCAAAGTTTATCTCACATGTGCATTTACTAGTATAAAGCTTGAGCATTTTATATCTTATACAAAATTCAAACAAATAAAGCACAAAAACAAGATACTGAATTCAACCATCTATTTATGAACTTTGTACAGGATGGTTAAATAATAAATGCCACAAATTTCTATGCAAAAGTACCAGGAGTTTTTTGGTGGCGGAACCATCATGGTTGAAATACAGTTCTTTAGCCATGGCGCTAGCATTCAACAAGGAACCAGAGGGCTTCTTGGTAATCCTAATAGGCAGTGATTTGCTGGTGAAGGCAATTGCAGGCAATGGCCTGAGAAAACATCCCATGTTTTTGGTTATTCGTTCAGTATATTTTTTGAGATAGCTTGAATGAGCTCGAGGATAAGAAACTGAAGTGTGTCAAGACTAGCGAGACTAGAAAAAAATATCTTCTTGGCCTTTTGGCATTGCGTTCTCCCTTGATAATCTGATAAAACCCCAAAAAGGGGGAAATTTTACATTTATTTGAAGTATTTTATTTATTTATTGAAACCAAAACACATGGATGTAAATGAGTCGATTCGAGTAGAAGGTGAAGACTCGGGCTTTCAACTCGGGCATTATCTAGTTGGGCCGGGCCGAGTGGGCTGGTGTCTCAGTATTTTTCTAAAGCCGTGAAATTGAATTTTTTTGTTTCTAAACAATATGACCATGTGCACTCTTTAAATTCAATCATTTGTTCTATATTAGACACATCAAATTATTCGTTTGAACTTTTAAACTTCCGTCTATATATTAAGTCCCTTGTTCGATATAAATAAAATTAGATTTTTAGTAAATTTAGTAGAATTTGATAAAATGTATTGATGAAAAATTATAAAATTTATAAAATGCTTGATAAAAATTATTTGTTGATTTTTACTTAATTTTTTATTAAAATTCTATTTTTTATTATTAACACAATATATGGGTAACAAATGCAAGCTACCTAATGCAAGCAACTTGCATTTCAAAGCACGGGTAGGCCCGTTTGGTTCGCTGAGCCACACGAGCCGACTCAAACTCAGGCTGATGTCCAAAAATAAAACTCAACTCGAGCCTCGGCTCGATTTCCTCAAGTTGCAAGCCGAGTCGGCTCGAATTTTTCTTGGGCCGAGTTACGGGCCAATCGAGCCGACGAGCTGAATTGACATCTCTACCAAAACATTGATTTTCATTACAATAAGCGATGGCCACAAACCTTCAGCAAATAAATAGAATAATCCTAAATAGATGGGTACAGTTGATCTAGTTTCGACGAATGAAAATAAAGTATGTGGGTCATTTTATTTCCTTTTTTTTTTAGTCCTATTGAAATAGAAATAAAGTGGTATTAATATAAAGAGAATGTTTGGTTAAGCTCAAAACAAAGAAGGTGTGTTTGAACTACATTATTTTGGAAGAATGTACTTTGGAATAATAGATTGATAGAGAATGTGTAGTTGAAAAAAAAGAAAAAGTTATTGATGTGATGAAAAATATTATTTTATTGAAAAATGTGTGGTTGAAAATGAATAGAAGAATGTGAATGAAAAAAATAACGTGGCTCAAACAGGGGCTTACTTTTTTTGTTTTCTTTTGACAGTAAGTAAAAATTAGTGTCAAAAGAAAAAAATTGTCCTAAAACTCAGCCTTTCCCAATTAAAAAAAATGGTAAAAACCTTAAACATGATAAAAAAATTTGGGATTCCAACTTCGGCGGACTTGTCAAAGACCAGTTTGTTGATTCTAATTTCAGATTGATTTATTGCAAGGAAATCGATGGCTAAAGATGAAGGTCCCCTTTGATGTAAATTTGAAAGCCGTTAGTGGTAGCGACGCAGTTGGCTGTGGCCTAATGGAAGGTTTCCATGGGTTGCCTTGATGTGTTTTGAAATTGTTGATTTGTGTTGAAGTGGAGGTGGTGGTGATTTTGGATTTGAGGTGAATGTGGCATGGTGATGAATTTGAGGTGGTGCCGGCAGCGGTGTAGGTTGTGAATTTGAGATAAAGTGATGGTTTTGGGGTGAAAGAGTTGATGGATTTGACATAGTGGTGCCAACTATTTTGGTGGTGTCGACGATGGTAGAATAGGATATGGTGAGGTAGGGTGAAGTGTTTGTGTCTAGAACTAATTGGGTAATTCATGATTAATAAATAATTTATGACTTATGAAATGTGTGATTTGCAAGTAAATACGTGATTACAATCAATTAATTGGGTAATTTGTAACTAATAAATTATTTGTGATATATTACATACGTGATTCATGACTAAAAATACATGATTGTGACTTCTAAATTGTGTATTTATGACTATGATCTTGTGTAATTTGTGACTAGTATGTGATCGTGACATGCTTAATTAAATTATAGGTAATTTTATCAGATGTCATAAAATGTGATCATCTGATTTTTGAAAATGTTTCACAAGTTTGTTATTTTTGAAAATTTATTATGAAATATTTGTAGATATCTATTTTTCCATTTTTTTCTCACTTGTAATAGTTTTTTCAATCATATTTACTCATTTTTAAAAAATATGGTACTTAATAATTAATATTCCTTAAATATGTCAGTAATCAAAAATCCGTATCTTTTGGGAACAACTTCATGTGCAATTTTAAAATTCAAAATTCTATACGAGAACATAAGAAATCAGCCGATTGAATTTCATATGAGAACTTAGAAATGAATAATCAAAATTATGTTCATCGGTCAAGGCTGAATTGTGTTAATGTCGCCGATTGAGATTGTGTTATTCCCTATTGTGGATGACAATGAGAAACTAATTGTCATAATATTGTTAATGTCGCATTGGAAAATGTGATAATTTCAATTGTAGAAGACACTTGGAAATCAATTGCTAGTAGAGGTTGTATTACTTCCTATTGTAGATGAAAATTGGAAATCGATCGTCGAAATTTCATAATTTCGTCGGTGCTTATTACATTACTTCTTCATGTGGATGACGATGAAGAATCAGTCGGTGGAATTATGTTAATATTGCTTATGGAGATTGTGTTTGTTGTGGTTTGACCCAAATTCTAGTGAGTATTGGAGTCTAAATTGGAATGACCTTGAAGAGATCAAAATTATATATTGGAGGAAAAAGTCGCCGCATTTTTGCTAGCTTGGTGCTAACTGGACGCTCGAGCGAGTCCGATAGAAAACAACCCGATTGATTATAAAGGATTTCTCCCCATCTGCCCATATTTTTTTCCCTATATTGGATGTCCACGTAAATCTTGCTGTTTATTTTCTTCTTGTTTATTTCATTATTGTCATTATCTTGCGATCCAAATTCATAACAATTGGGGTCAGAGCAATTTTGATATCTTGTTTGTTCCGTAACAAGTGGTATCAGAGCGAAGTTGATTATTCTATATGGTGATAATGAAGTGTGATATCCCGTTGTTAGATAGAAACACTAAATTTACCTTATGGCAAGTGAAGGTGCGAGCGGTTTTAGCGCAGATGAATTTGGAGGAAGCTTTACTTGGCTTTGATAGGATACATGCTACCTGGATGCGGGATGAAAAATAATTTAGAAATCGAAAAGCCCAATCTCAAATTCATCTACATCTTTCAAATCAAATTCTTCAGAATGTTCTAAATGAGAGAAATACTACTGCGTTGTGGTTGAAGTTGAAGCAATTTTGCATGACAAAGAGCTTGACTAGCAAGCTACATTTGAAACATCGCTTGTATTCTCACCGGATGTCTGAAGGTGCGTCATTGGATGATCACTTAACTATGTTGAAAGAAATTGCGGCCGGATTTGGAGACAATGGAAGTTAAGTTAACAAGTAGGACTTGGTGTTGATATTGTTATGTTCTCTACCGCCATCATATGTAATTTTTAGAGATACTATTCTCTATAGTTGGGATACTCTCACTGTAGAAGAGGTCTATGATACTTCACTATTTAAGAAGAAGATAAGATAGCTTACTGAAGGATCTGGGAATCATGTTGAAGGCTTGGTTGTACGTGAGAGAAATCAAAATAGGAATCTTAGCAGAAATATGAGGGGCAGATTGAAATCTAGACATATTGAGAAGACATGTCACCATTGTAAGAAAAATGGTCATATTAGAGCTGATTGCTATATCTTGAAGAACAGAAATAAAGCTGGTGGTGCTACTGAGAAATGGAAGAAACTTGTTAATACATCGAAGTCTGATGTTGTGGAAGATGTGCAAAGTGAAGGAGAGCTTCTTGTGATTTCTGACATGGATTCTAAACCATATGAGGAATGGGTTCTTGATTCAACTTGTACTTTTCATATGTGTCACAACAGGGATTGGGTTTCAACTTATGAAGGAGTTTTAAGAGGTGCAGTTATTATGAAAAACAACGCGCCTTGCAAAATTGTCGGAGTTGGTATAGTCAGAATCAGAATGTTCGATGGGGCTATCAGAACACTTCCAGAACTGAAGCGGAATCTCATATATTTGAATGTACTTGACTTAAAGGGTTATAGATATACTGGTGAAGGTGAAGTTTTGAAGGTGAACAAATGTACTTTTGTTGTCATGAAAGCATATAAAAGCTCGAGACAGTTATACATTTTGCGAAATTCCACAGTAATTGGAGATACAGCAGTTTCTACTTCTTTTTTGACAGATGATGAAATTACAAAACTTTGGCATATGCAGCTCTGGCATATGAGTGAGAATGACATGGCAGAGCTGAGTGGAAGGGGATTTCTTGATGGGGAGAAGACCAGGAAAATAAATTTTTGTGAGCATTATGTCTTTGGGAAACAGAAGAGAGACGGATTCATAAAATGAAGACACAACACAAAGGAAACATTTGAATATATCTATTCAGATCTTTGGGGACCGGCTATGGTACTATCAAAATGAGGTCATTGTTGCTTATTGACAGTGATTGATGATTTCTCCAAGAAAGTTTGGATATTCTTCTTGAAGTATAAAAATGATGTATTTGGGTCCTTCAAGAAGTGGAAAACATTGGTAGAAAAGTATATTGGAAAGTAGGTGAAATGTCTATGCACAAATAATGGGTTGGAGTTTTGTTAAGATGACTTCAATAGCTTCTATAGGGTTGAAGGCATCTTGAGACACTTGATGGTGCATGGAACTCATCAACAGAATGGTATTGCAGAACAGATGAATAGAACTTTGATGGAAAATGTTCGTTGTATGCTTTCAAATTCTGGTTGCCTAAGAATTTTTGGGCTGAAACTGCTACTCCAGCTTGTTTTCTGATTAATCGCTCACCCTCAGCTATCATTGATAAAAAGGCACCAGAAGATGTATGGTATGATAAACCTCTGATTTGAAAATTTTTAAGTGTCCTGCTTA